TTATATGCGATTCGATAGATGTTTACGAAAAATTCATTTTAAAAATGAATTTGACGTTGACCACGCCTTTGAAACTGAATTGCTACGTTATGTTTGTCAATAATCGTATAGTGGAAACTGGCCATTAGTTAGCCGTCAATCATTTATCTTGTTTTGATGCGCCCTTCTGACCAAACAACATTCGCCTTCCTTTATTTTATTACTATCTACGTTACTATCGTTATTGTTTATCATTTTTATCACTCTTTTTATTATTATTTATCATTATTTTCTTTTGCTTTTCATTGTTCCCATTTTTTATTACAATTCGTTATTATTATACAAAAATTATGTGACGAAAATTTTAAACACTTCGAATTCGTTTATAAGTTAATACACTTTTAATACCTCTAGCATTTTCATCTTCCTTCGCATTTTTTAATAGTCCTCACCATTACTGGTTAAACTCGCTCCGCTGGCTTGTCGCACTGGACAAATATGCCTGGGAGTCCTTTGGCGATAGAAGTACAGGTGAATCACCCGTTTTTTCGACAGGTTTGCTCCTGCAGACAGCATCGGCGCTCCGAATTGAGCAACAACCCATCGAGCCATTCTGTGCCGCATTTCCCATTAATCGTCAGTTATTCACGAAATGAATTTTTTCAGGTTCAACGCTTTTTACTTTTTAAAAGATTATTATTGCTGTTGTAATTCCAAGTATTTTGACTAGGAACATTTCTTATTTATTATTTATTATGTGTGCATTTCGTTTAATTATTCTGGTTACACTATAATAACTAATATTTCGTATAAGTGTTGTAGTTTGGAGCAATTCCATGCATCATATATGCATTTGCTAAAGTTAATGTGTTTATTGCATTTCGGACAGTTTAATCGGTATTCTTCTCTCGTTATTGCTTTGACAAAATTGGTTAAATATTTATCATTTTTTCCCCCAAACTGTCACTAAAGAAACCTTTTTTGTCAAAATAAAAATGAAATTCATAAAGGAAAAAGGTGTGCATTAAAACTTGATGCATTTGAATTTTGCCGATTTGCAGAATTTGTTTTGATGTAATCCGAATTGACCGAATGAATCTGGTTCTTATTTATTATGTGTGCATTTCGTTTAATTATTCTGGTTACACTATAATAACTAATATTTTTTAAAAGATTCCAGAAATATTCGTTCGTCGTACAAAGAGAAAAAGATTAAATATTATTAGGAGGATATCATTTACCACTTCGCTAGGACTTTGTTTTTTTCGTTTTGCGGCAATGAGAATAATTGGGAAAAATTTAGCAAATAAGCAAGACTTTTTAATAGAGGAAACTATTTGAAATTTATTTGTAAGAAATTATTTGATTTGAGGAAAAGTCTATGGACATCACTTCTCACATTCAAAGTCACATTTATCTTTTAAAAGTATTTCAAAATGCGGTAAAACTTATTATATTGTGGAAAGAATTTTTATGATTGCCATTTAATTACTGAAAAAATTTAAATTTTAGGTTTCTTTTAGAACGAATTTTATAATGAATTCCGAACAATACTCGAGCAATATTTATTAAAAGTAAATGTGACAAAATCCGTACTAGAAGAAATTTGAAAACCAGTTTTCAGGAAGTAACTAACTCGCTCGTGGAGAATTTTCCATTTAATTTGCTTATTTTAGCAAAAATTTAAGATGGAATTTTTTTTAGGTATATGGAAAAAGCCATGAGGCACTGTTGAGTAAACAGGATTCAGCAAGAATAATGAAACACCGTGATTTCACTTGCTGAATTTATCGAAGATTCATGAATTACATGGTGCGAAAAGAATTTTAAAAATTAATACCCTGAGAAAATTGAATATTTCACGTACGTGCTTTATAAATATCTATAATATTGGATAAATTGTAAATGACGATTTTAAGACAGTTTTTACTTAAAAATAATGCATTATTAATAAAATTAGCAATAATCAATAACTTTGATAACCTTTAATTTATGGTTTTTTATTTTTAGATTGCCTCAACTTGGATGGATTAACCTCGTCTCGCTTTGGTTACATTAAGATTGTTTGGCCTAAGCTCAAAATTTTATATATATTCAAGCTGTACTTCTTTCATTGTGGGTCGTCTTCTTCATAGCGAGTTGATTTGCGATTTTTTGATTTTTCTTTCAACCTCTCTTTAACCTCTACAGTACAATCACCTCTGTGTTTTTACTTGGTGCCCTTGAATAATCACCATTTCAGCAGTAATTTTCATTATGCAATTTTATTTTCTCCGACCTAATCTTTTTATTTATCACTGAAATGATTATTTCATCTGTTAGGTGATATTATTAAAATACAACCAATTTATCATTGCATTATATGAAACCCATTAAAAAAATAATTTAAAAATTGTGAACCTGAAGTTTTTCGCTCTAGATTTCATTTTTTCTTTTTGTATTCTAAGATTTATTGACTTTATTCATTCGCATTCTTCTTTCTGTCTTAAATTTGTTTGCTGCCACTAACATTTTGAAAATACCGAGAGTTATTTGAATATTTATACCTCGATAGAAGAAATGAAAACAAACTGGTTGAATTTTTTTCATATTTTCTTAAAGCTTAACGGGTGGAAAACCGAAAATCTCTATCGAATGACAAGTATCAATCTGAATAGATGCAACTTGTCAAAGCTGGAACTCCTACTAATGAAGGCGGGTTTTGGGAATTCTTTTTGTAAATCTTGGCAATTGCAAAGAAATGGAGGTCATTTTTTTTAGATTCAGAGAATTGAAGAATTTTTACATCGAATATTTTTGTGATAAAAGAATACGAGAGTTTAGGAAAATTCTTTGGATATATTTCCAGCAAACTACCTTGTCTTTCAGAGTTTGGTTTTTTTCCGCCTTTCAATTTATCCAGTCTTTCTGGCACTTTCTTTGTCGAGTATGGAGGTCGCAGTCTTTCTTCATGATTTCAAATTTGTCTCGATGGTCCTCAAAAATTTTGTTTCATTTGTTAACAATTTCAGCGATCTTTTCGAAAATTTATATCAAAAAAAATTTTTTTGACGTTTTTTTTAAAGAGTCAAATTTGAAATCTTTTCTTATATTGGCCGCTCGTTCTCCAACAAACGGGTTGAAATTTTGTCTAGAATTATACGATAGTGGATATCTCACAATTTTGCTTGAAAAGGAAACCAAAGTTCGAAGGAAAGTTCCATTTAAAATATGCCTATGAAAATATCTTAGTTACTCCACTATCATGTATTCCGGACGGTTTGGAGGAGCGAGCGGCCCTGCGATAGTGTACTTGTTTGTTTATCTTCAAATAAGAAACTCAAATCATACAACTAGATTCATATTTTCAAATTTGTTGCCCCATGAACTTATTTGAAGGCTCATAATTCCTAATTTTTACTCATCTTTATCTTTTATTCAATATTTCTACACACATTATTCTTCATGGAAAACAGAATTTTGCGATTTCAAATTTACTTTATGCCATAATGTTACTTCGCCAGTTTTATTTGGGTTCCGTATCTGCAGTTCCAACCAGCAACTATCACTTCAGATGATTTAATCATTAATTTGCATGTAACATTATCATTTAGAAAAAATATTTGATATTAAAATCGCTAAAATTCATAAATATATGCTATTCGGGGTGAGCGAGTTCCCTGAATTTGAAAAGTATTTTATTTCCCTTTTATCGAAAAAATGAAGAAAATCAATGGAAATCTTCCCACAGATGTCAATGAAAATATCTTCCACCTGCAACAAATAGTTTTCCTAATCAACAGCCCTGTTACAACAATTCTTGTATTCGTTACTTTTATATGTTCTTGTGTTAATTTTTGAATGGTTAATTTTTAAAATTTGATGCCAACTGAAACCCAGCAATCCACTGCCAAGTGTTGATGTACATTTTATTGCATGTATCGCTTTTTTCTTAAATAAAAAAACCCGCCCTACCAAGGCGGCAAAAAATGTCTTGGCTTATATGCATGATATATTACATTAATGGTCTATAAAAAAATAAATGAACTTACTTAAGCAGAAGCAGAATTCTCGAGAAATACATCCAAAATGTTTAGAAAAGAAATCAAAATTAAGTAAGTTTTTTTCCTCACCATTACTGGTTAAACTCGCTCCGCTGGACAAATATGCTAGGAAGTCCCAAGGCGACACAAGTATAGGCAAATCGCCAGCATCGCCCCGATTTATATATTATGAATAAATCAGCAATATTAGTAGATATAGCAATACCAAGCGGCAAGAACTTTAGAAGCAAAATAAAATTAGGAAAAAGATGTTGGAGAAATACCAAGGGTTGAAACTAAAGATGTGAAGATGAAAGATGAAAACCTAGGTGGTTATAGTGATAACTGGACTACTAGGAACTGTGACCACTAAATTAGAAAAGCGACTTCAACGAACTTCTGAAACGATTTCAGAGATCTCCATATATTGCTCGATAGATCAAAATTAAAAATGAGTAACTATTGCCAAATTTAATTTGCAAAATTTAAAACTTATCGCTTTTGAATTCTGTGAGAATTCAATGGCCATGAATCAAGACATTTAAATTAAAATGCTATCAATATGATATCACAATCTTATTTTTTGGTGAAAATCGTACAAAAATAGAAATAAAAATGGTAGCCAAAGCACTTTCTTCCAATTAAAATATTTCGATCTTTTTTGGTCTACGTTGATTGAAGAAACTCGAAACTTCCGGGATGACGTATCGATAATAACAGCTAGCTAAACAAATGGCTCTCGTTGCCTAATTTTTTCAAACCAAAGCAAAAATATGAATGGCTTTATACGATTAAAAAACAATAATGGATAATAAATTTGACCTCGAAGATAGGAAACGATGGCGAAATAACTTAGTATATAAGACTGAAAGAAATATAAAAATGTTTAGTTGCCACAGCAAAATACAATCTATCGTTTATACTCCCAATCTTTTTAAGATTCCTTCCACAACAGAAAGATGACAAAAAAAAATATTAAGGAAAAAGGAATATTAGATATTAAAGAAGTTTTAACTGTCCAGTCACAGAGTCCACTAGATCAGATGGGCCGAAAATAGCAAGCACTGTTCTAGATCCGGCAGGAATTTGGGTCCGACCAGCATCTGATACCACATAAGCAAAAAGACCCTGAAGCAAGAATAAACGTTGTAGACATTTTAAAATATTTTCAAAAAATTGGAAACAACGTTGACAAACTAAACCGGAAATGATTTCAAATTTTTTATGAAAGACAGCAGAAAGTCTGAATATTACCATGTAAAAAAAGCATGGGAAAAAACGCTGACGAGAAAAAAATTAAGTTACCAAATCTTTCGCCATTTTAAAAAGTTCAAGTAAATGTTCGGTATTTTGGCCTTTAACAACCACTTTCATTTCACCACATGCCCGCCATGCTTCTAAGGCTCGTTGACCCTGAATTAAGGGGAATAAAATACCAATTTATCAAACTTTTTTCTCTAAACATGATAAAAATATTATTAGACCACCAATAAAAACAAGCCAAAGTATAAAAATTAGTTGCAAATCATATCCCGGAAATTCTAATTTTAAAGAATTATAAATATTTATAAATAAAGCAACGATATGCAGCGAAAACTACCTCTTCTTTTCGCTGGGCCAGACGATAAACGCTGATAGATGCATGCCCAACTTGAGCAGCTAATTTCCCTGTACCCATTTTTAAGTTCATATTTATCACAAAAATCATTTTATGCGCTTGAAAGTTATTCAGAGATGAAGTAGTAGAAGTAGTGGCTAAAAATCATTTAAAAATTAAAATTTATTCAGCAATATTCATATCATTCAAAGAATTGTAATATTAAAATCTAACGATTCCATAAAATGGATGATTTAAAATAATACGAGTGCAACAATACCTCCCATTGCAACTTGATAACCATTCACGTCTGATTCGTATTCACTTTCGTTACTGTGTTCAAGTATCCAGTTAATTGCTGAGTTTATTCCGTCACAATTATCTTAATGAAGACAAAATTTTTTTTGTTAAAAACAATATAGAAATAAATAACACAAAAATAAACCATCACAATATATTATATGATATTATAGTATACGATAAAGCTCTATTACGATTTTGTCCTAAAATATCAAATTAGGGAATTCCATGCCAGAAATTTCAATATATATCGATCATAATTTCGTAAAAAAGAGGCTATACAAAATCTAGAAAAACATTCGATTTCTTCAAGCAAGTGGTACTAGAAATGATCAACGAATGGCTAATATCGAAACTAAATGGACAAAATAAATTATAGAAACAAGATGGTCAGATAAGATACCCTAAATACTTAACAAAATTCGCCATTTCACTAGAAAATTTGATCATCTAAATCATAAACAATTCCTTCATGGGGATTTGTAATGGCTTGAAAGCATTTATTAATAAAGTTCTGTTTATATTTCTCTGCCAAATTAACTTCTACTGGATCTAACCCCAACCGTTTCGTGTTATTTATGTGTCGTGTTATTTCTTTGAGCCCATAACTTTACTCAAAATCAATATTCAAAATTATTCAAAAGAGACACCGTTACAATCAGAAGCTGTGCTAACATAATACATTTATTCCATTTACTTAAAAATCCGACCTTCTGGAACCAATGAATTAGCGGTTCTGCTATTTCTTTCAAGTTGTCCAGAAAGCAGAAATAAAAGGTTTGTCGGTGAGAGAGAGAACATGGTGAAGAGGAAGGACTTCTATATTTTAGGTCTAGTGGCATCCTGCAGAATGATGCAACCTTTCCAATTCTTTGTTGCATGATTCCACTATGATCATTGCACTCAATCCTGCAGCAGCCACTAAATAATGAGTATAATCTTCGATTAAAGGTAGGGTTTCTGATATAAATCGAGAAGGTTCATCCTTCATGCTTCTGCAGCCATTTCGCGGATCTTTTTCTCTTATTGTGCAGAAGCTGATCTTTATCGCAAGTAAAAACTAGTTTCAAAAATAGATCATTTCTTAAAAATTTAAGAACAATCAAAGCATCTCCAAACGTATCGTCACCTGATGCTAAGACCGTATGCGAGGAACCCATTTTCCCTACACTGTTTCTTATGCCCACTGCATGCAGGTGATTCTACAAAGTACCATGTAGAATAACTTATGTGGCAATCTGACCAACTCCATCTGGGACTGATCTTCATCATTTTTTTCACGGATTCATTTAGAACTTAAGGATCTGAAATATTTCTCAAGCCATATCCCCAGATTTCATGAAGCAATCTCGTATAGTTCATTTAAGTGTGAAAATCAAATGCATATTGTGGGTTGAACTTACAGATACCCCAGCTTGAACTCAAAAAAGCCATACTTCGGAAATCACGCAGCCGCATACCAAATTTGATCATTCAAATTACCAAAAAAAATTAAAATCACCAGATTTTCTGTAATGAAAAGAAAACAGGAAGCCATGACGAGCAGAGCGATATTCGATATATCAGCCAAAGTAGCAGAACAAAAATATTTTGCCCAAAAGACCGAATCAAAGCTTATAATGTTTTGCTCAAGCAAAAAAAAGAGTGCTAATCGAAAGACCTTTTGTTTTAGTCAAAGCTAAAACGGCGATCGCTTTTTCGAAACCAAATGCCAAAATTTCGTTTAATAAATTCGTATCAATAAGATCGTCATTTATTTCTGGATCTGCCGGATGTTGGCTACTGTTTCCTGCTAATGTATCAGGTACACCTGAATGAAAAAAGAAATACAATTATTAAAAATTCCTGCAAATATAAATCTAAACATAAATCATTTGTATCGGGAAAAAAATATTTGAAACAATAATCGTCCACTGTAAACGAACAGAAATTGAGCAAATGATCGGAAACTTCTTGAGTGAAATCTGGAACTGACGGAAAGTACAACTGATCTTTTTCTTGACTTGGTAAAAAGTTGGCAAATGTAGATGATTCAGTTGAGACGCTATCAATTATAGGATCAGCAATGCCATGCGTTGGACAGTTTTCTGAAAATGACCTAACAATCCAAAAAAAGGTTAAGACCTTAAAAGATTCAAATAACATTTGAAGAACTAACATCCTGGATTTATACTTCCTAGAATTTAAAATTGAAAATTTGACCGGAAGAATCCACAGAAAGCTCGTTGCCAGATGTGATCGAGTGTATTTGACTACTGCCTTGCGCTGCTTCAGTACTCCAAAATGAAACGTCTGGGGCGGGCGGAACTTCAAAGTTATCACCTGATGAATCGATCTGATAAATTCTGCAAAAATTTGACCAAATCAATAAGAATAGATTTAAAACAACCAAAGATAACGCTGTAAAAATTAAACCTATTTGAATTTCTTTCCGACGAGTCGTCTGACATCAATAATTAAACTTCTTTAACACTTTCACACCAGCAATTACAGATTTGAAGCAGCTCGTTGCTTCCTTAGCTCGCGTTCACGTCTACGTGCTTCTTGTCGTCTTTTTCTAGAATATTCTAATCAAAATATATATTTGAAACGTGTTAACTTCTCAATTAAATAAATTTTATGCAAAATAAAATAAATAAAATAAATTTTCAAAATACGTAATATGCAAAGAAATAAAATAAATTTATGCAAAATTTTTCAAAATTTTTAGTTGATTTAATCAAAAATACTGCTATTTTTTTAAAGAGTCCTCACCATTACTGGTTAAACTCGCTCCACTGGCCTGCCACACTGGACAAATATGCCAGGGAGTTCCTTGTAGTACAGGTGAGTCGCCAGCATCACCCGGATTTTCAGACAAGTTTACTCCTGCGGGGAATAGAAAACTCAGCATCGGCGCTCCGAAATGAGCAACAACCCACTGAGCCATTCTATGTCCCCAAGTCCATAAATCGAAAATATTATACTGTTATACAATATTATACTTGGCAAGATTATATTCCGAATTGTCTTCTCCAGCTCTCGGTCCACGAATATTGACCCAATCGTCAACAGCTTGATTTTCAATCTCCTGCAAATATAAGCAAGAATGATTTCAAAGTATACAGCCCAGTGATCTGTGGACTTGAGACGTGAAAAAATAATGGCTTCAGTCACTTTCAGGAATGGCATCGGAATGAATGGCTTAAAAACGTCTCACTGTTGGAGTCAATCTACAGTAATAGTGCCGTTAGAAGAAGCAAATGTAAACCACTAAAGAAACCAAAACATACATTTCATTTATTTCAAATAAGAAGTCACCACTGCTCATTAAAAAGACAAAAATTTCAATTGATTCTTTAATTTCAATTTTTTTAAATTGAAACGAAACTAGAATTCATTGCAAATATAAAGTGGTTATGAATAATCCTAAAATTTAATTGCTGACTTTTCCAATAATTTTTCATATTAGATTTTTTTAAAAAAACTTCTAGCGAACAAGTGAAAAAAACGAAGTTTTTTCAATTTTCTATTTTCAGCAAATAATCAAAAAAACTAACCCTCAGAATTTGATCAACACTGCGTTCGTTTATTCGCAAACCACTGCTACGCAACTGAGATTTCTGAAAAAAAATTTTCTTTCATAAATAAGATTCTAATAAAAAACTGGTCTAAAATAAAAAAATAAAAAGTCGGCGAAAAAATAGTAAAAAACACTCATCTTAGCTAATGGTAACCCATATTTATTCGCTTACAGGTATATGATGTGGTCGTAGGTATAATTTTATGTGCGGGAGAAGTAGTGAACTGGCATAGTGCAGTGACAGAGGAGACCTTTCACGAGTTGCGCAGTGGCCAAGAGTAGACTTTTCTCAGGTTATAAATCGTTGCCTAGGAGGTCGTATTTAAGTTCACACTCAAATTATGCCTATTAATTGGCTCAATTCGGTATCGCAAATGATCGATTCAACTACATCAATAAAAGCGAATGGAAATAAAGGAAATATGTTAGCAAACTGTTTCAGCATTAAAACAGACAAGGAGAGAGAAGAAGGCTTTACTTTCTTCATGGATTAACGAAACTGTGAAATCATCCGAGATATCCATTTAAAGGTTAAATGAAAAGAGAACGGCATTTTTTGCTTATCAGAATCACTCGCCAGACAGCGCCAAAAAGGGCTCGCATGTTTGCATGCTCTTTCCTTCTCTTCTTTTCGTTCATCGCTTTTCCTCTTATTTTTTAGTCAGTAAACTTAAATACGACCCCCTAGGCAACGATTTATAACCTGAGAAAAATCTACTCTTGGCCACTGCGCAACCCATGAAAGGTCTCCTCTGTCACTGCACTATGCCAGTTCACTACTTCTCCCGCACATAAAATTTTTCATTTTTGCTTTCTGCTTCTGTACAGCAAAAAACCGGGAAATATTGACGCACAATAATGAAAGAATAAAGCATAAAAAGGCTTACAAGCTTTTCGCCTTCAACAACGGATTGTTGAATTCGTCGAAAATCGTATCGCACGGACTGAAACTGAATTAAAGCAATGACACTACCAGAAACAATTGCCAGGAAAGGGACACCTCTAAGCAAAAACTTCAAACCACCACCTCTCTTCATAAACAAATCACAATTCCCAACCAGAATTTAGTACAAATAAAATGCGACATTTTTAAAGCTCGGCTTCTACTAGCAAACAATCGACGAAATTCGCTGAAATAAGGTAGAATTAGGAAATCTGCGTTTAAGCTGAGTGTTAGAAGTGTCAGATGTCCGTTGAGTTAAAGGTCATTATGCTTTTTTTTGGCGAAGGTCATCGGTGACACTGTTATATGTATTAGAATTATTGGTGATTGTCGTATGCAAGAATATACTGGTTGGTTCATAGATTGCAGGTTGGAGTCAGTCAGGTACCACAGTTTTGGTAACCAATGGAATGGCATGTTTGGGAAATCGGATAATGAATAAATTTTCTCTATTTGTCTAAGTTATAATTAATCTTTTTATATGTATTTTTTATATGATTTTGGTTTGATATTATATTTTTATATGATTTTGGTTGATGAGTTGTTTTCAACAATCATCGGCTGGACAAGAATATTGGAAATTCGCTTCAAGTATCAGTAAACTATCGTTATGTACTTTATCGACTTTGCTACTGCGTTTGATTCCGTAAATATTGCAGCATTCGCAATTGGCACTGTGAAATACGAACTGTTTCTGTCTGTTAAGGGTAATTTCTCCACTAGTTTTGAATTGTGGAATAGATTGGGTTATGGACACCGCTTGCTGGTATTCAGAAGTTTTACATTTAGATCATTCCAAAGTATAGAACTTCAAATCTTTGTGTGGTTTTTCGCTGGCAGAGATGACGAACTGTAAAAATCAGCAGCTATGAAAATGTGCGGATATGCTAAATGTGCTTTCAAATCATATCTACCATTATGCTCATACAGTCGTGATTTCCGCAAATTTATTTCCAGTTCAAGAAGTACCAGAGTTTAAATATTCCTTTCTCCCACACATAACAGCCAGATAAAAGGTGAAACCAAACTGGATACCTTTGGGTATAAATACTTTCTTTAGATTTTGCAAACCCCTCCGCGAAATCAGTCTAGAAAGCTCTCGTCTATCTTGCTGTTACTCACAACCCTGTATGACTGCAACTTATGGTCAGTGAGAGTGGAAGATATCGGTACGTTATCTGCTTAGCCTTTTGCTAATGGTACATACTGCTTATTCGTGAACATTAATTATTAATATCTTCATATGATATCGTCTGGGTCGTTTAGACTATATTGTCGTTCGTTATCTAGGAATTGTCTGCAAATCTCGTTATATGCTCGTGCTTTGTCGTCAAAAGCGAGAAAAAATTAGAACATGGGCTGAGGGAGATTTTGACGTATAGGGAGCATAGCGATGTGTTGGATTATTATGTATGACAAATGCTAATAGAAGGGTTGGTTTCAAGTATTTTCGGGCATTGGGTTGGGAGGCTAGGAAAACTATTCGCTGATGGAACCAACCAAATCAGTTGCTAAAGAAGCGGGGTGATTAGAAATGAAAAATCATAACACCCTTTTCATTTTACATTCTCTTTCACCACAACTGTGGATTGACGCTTTGCGAACGAAATTGTTTCTTTTTTCCAATATTGGTTAGGCTGATTCCGCTAGTTGCGAAGCTTTGGCCCTTCGATCCCATGCCCATTTGGAAGCAACAGAAGTCTCCTTCTTCTACCGCTTAAGTTCATATATCGTAGGCTTCTGCCGCCCCATGCATTCAAAATCCTTGCTGATCGTTTTTCTTGGTCCTCCGTGCTTTTTTAGTCATCTATCACATGGTTTTATGAGTAGCGAGATGTGCCAAATCGTTAAGAAAATTCATTTTGTAAGTTTATCTTATTATTATTAAAAAAATTAGACTTTCGTCATATCTAACATACTTTTTGATTATTCATCTGCTCTCATTGTTACGGAACTGATTTTTGCAACTCATAACAAATGCTGCTGTGAATATGTGCAAACTAATAATGTTTTCCACGGTAATATGCGGTCATGTTAACTCCCACATTTGTGCAGTTTTTTACGTCTCATATTTTTAAACATAAAACTTCTGCAAAAATAAATATTTGGTGCACATTCAGCGATTTGTATCAATTATTTTAAAGGAACAAAAACCTGGTGATGAGAGAGACTATTTGAAGATGGTAAATAATAACGTGTAAACCTATTCCATCGGCTGTAAATGTGCAATGAAAAATTTTTGCACTCATTTTGCAGTTGGAATAAGTCGATAGCATCACCCAGAATTATAATTGATACTTCCGCTTATTTGCTCTGTCACAAATTTACATGATTTTTCCACTTTCATTTATAAATCAATCACTTTACTATTCCATATTCATTAAATGAAAATGCGTTGAATTTGCAAACGTTTTACAACATCTGAACATTTTGAATTTTTCAATAATTTTTTTAAAGCAATTAAATCCATTTGTTCATCGTGTATAATTAAATAAACGATTTTATTTTAGCTAATTTAGCCAATTCTTTATTAATGGCAAATCAGTTGAGCTAATTTAAAATTCATCTAATAAATAGTTGAAATTATTTCATCACAGTACACCTTGAATATGAAACGTCATGAAAAAATAATTTTAAAGAATTTTATCGAAATTCAAAAAGACTATTTAATCAAATGTAATGTTGCGATTTGCATGATGCATAAATCAGGAGAAACATTGATTACAAATGCATTAACATGTTTATTTACTTATTTATTTGCGAACTTGTAATGTACTTTACTGGTTAGCTGTAGGATTAACGATTATCTTAAAGTAAATTTTAATTGATTCTGGATTTTAATCCAGAGAGAAATGAGATGAGCTCGGTTGACGTATGCCGCGCACAACTTTATTGAATCAAACTGCACTGGATGTTTTGATGGTTATTTCTCTCAAAAAAAGCGATAAAAAATTTCCAAATTTTGTTCAAAGAAAATATAAAGATTAACTTTTTGTTGATAAAATGAAATTCGCAGCTGTTTTTTAATACAAAATTTCGTCAAATACTTTGCATTTTAAAAAATTTCATATGCATTTAAATTATGGCAAAACGTATACAATTTTCCCTTTTATTTATAATAGTTTTTCTGAAAATAAATTGTATTTCATATATTAAAAACAAATATTCTCATATAATAATAATCATTTATTATTATTATATTTTCCGGTTGATGAAACCTTTATGGAACTGTCACGAAATCACCATAAAGATGAAAATCCGCGTCCATATAGCTACAATTCGCTTGATCTATGGCTGCAACATTGCCAATGAGAGTGGAAGATATTAAGAAGCTATTAGCCTTTGACCAGTCATGTCTAAGATATATTTTACGAATCCGTCGAGCGGATAAAATCGCACATGATTGTATCCGTCCTTGCTCAAATACCACCTGTATTAATAAGTTATCACAGAGGATCGCCTTCGCTGGTTAGGGCAAGTTCTCCGTCGTCCTCCACAGGAGTTGACGCATATTTCGCATCTTGCTAAACTCTGTGATGATTGGCGTCAAAAGCGAGGAGGAGCAATCAAAACCTGGATTGATATAGTCAAAAAAGATTTTGAACGTATAGGAGGATCAGCGATATATGGACTTGGAAGATGGTAAAAGAAATGGCTGCTATTACTATTAGCGATGGCGCCGGACAAAGCAGCTTGGAGACGTCTTCCCTTGTAGCCAGCGCAGCCAGCCTAAGCAGTAATGGTGAGAGCTGCAAGAAGAAGAAGAATATTTTCATGTACTTCATACATTTATAAACAAATTATCTCAATTTGTTAAAGGCTTCAAACAATTGCAAAGTTATGAATGTAGCTTTAGAAAATTTTCATTTTGAAACAAACTCAGCAATGCAAATAAAAAGATTTTTAGGCTTCAGATTGTGACTGATCCCCTACACATCGGTATTTTTTAATTAAAAATTTTATAATTAAAAATTTAGGGGAGAATTTTCTAAATCGCAACAGAAAATTCAATAATATTCAATAACAGTATTTTTCGATTGAAAAGGTGTGCTGTCAAAAATATTTATACAGAAAACATACAGAAAAAACCTCCTCCTCCTAACCATGTTTTTTGATAGATACTTAATGGTGTCGAAAAAAAGATCTTTAATGCTTCAGCCATTTTTGAGTTTGCTATCATACTGGGTAATGATGTACATAGTTATATATAGTTGATTATGGCCGACATTTCTGCGCCGAGTTCAAGCCAGTATAAGGTAAACTAAATGTTTAAAAAAAGACTCCTGCAAGTGCCAATATGAGTTATTCTAATGAATAAATGAAGATTTAAATATTTTTTCACATTTTATGGTTCAAAAGAAACAAATAATATCATAACTTAAGTTGTTGTAAATTGCTGTATTTCTTCTGATGCGGTCAGCTAACGAAAAAATTAGAATGCGATGCTCATTTTTTTCAGCAAATAGCTTCTTCAGTAAATAGGAGAAAATTGAGAAACTAGGCAACGATATTTCCAGTTGAAGAGAAATTTCAGGAAGTCAAAAAGAAATTTCCATAAGAACTTATTTGTTTCAACTACAATTTAGTAGCGAATAAAATAATTGCAATGAAAGCACAATTTTCATCTCAAATGTAGCAACTATCATAAATAATTGAAACCACGCAAAAAAACAATTTTTCCCATTTTACCATTGCTTATTCCTCCATGAAAATTGATTCCATATAATCATATATCACGCAAAAAACCCTGGAAAATTGTCGAATTCCAATTTAAAGTATTGTCTCAGAGAAAAATTGATATCAATTTTCTTGCCAACTGAATTCGCCATAACAAAACAGATAAAAGGAATTCCGCATTATTTCAATAAAGACTTTTCAATAAGCTTGAATAAAATTCTAAAATCAACCTCAGTCAACTGTGACATTGTATGAAGAACATTAAGTTTGGCATACCAACCTTCAGAAAGATTAGAGATTAAATGTTAATCTTCGTTCAACTGCGATTAAAAATTTATTGCTAACAAAAATCTCCATTATTAGTTTATAAAAGATCTTAGGCCAATGATTTAAAATTTTTTTCTCGACTAATCTTGTTCATTATAAAGTTGTATTTTTTGTTTAAACGCTATTTTTACGTTAAAACCAATAAATTTTTTATATAATGCTCTTAGTTCGTGAAATCAAATATTTTTAAAAGTTATATTATATATCATATTAAGTTCTTCCACATATTTTAAAAGCATTGTAGTTCCATCTTTTAGGTCGGAAAAGAGGTTATATCGACCCAAATTTAAGATAATTTATCATATGATAATTATGTTAAAGTTTAATTAGACTGAACATGCGCCGAACAAATAAGATCCATTCTTCGAAATGAAAGAATGATGATGAAGAAATAAATTAAAATTTTTTAAAAAGATGCATTTTTTCTTATTCCATCTAAAATTTTTCATGCATTTGGAAGAAATGGATTAAGATTCACCATTGAGCTTACTAAGTAATAAGATCTTTTTTACTTAGTTTCATTAACTCATTGCATACATCCACTCTTACTCTGATTCATGAATCCCATCTACCGAATGGGTCGCAATAAGGAAATAGATCTCGAAAAGTGCATCCAAAATGGCAACAGTACTGCATCATTTCCGTTAACGATAGGGGTCGATATCCGGCTTTTCGTTTTACTCTTTTAGGTAAATCTAAAATGGTTTTTTTGTAAGTTTCATACATAACACTCTAATATGCCAAAAAGAAATCTTAGTTATCGCCGAGAGTTATCCCTACTTGAATTTTAATTCATTTCTGCTTCAACAAATAATCGAACCATTGAGCTCTACATGATTAGGCAAGAAATGCAGGATGTAGGGTTGTTTAAAAATGCAATGCTTTTAGAATAATGCGAACAATAAAAATAATGACTGTTTTTAAGCATAAAAAATTTGGCCATTTATTCACGCTTAGGATCAATTTTAAAGGATAAAATGGTACATACAATATTCGTTTAAGAAAAATTTTATAAATAACCCACGAAGTATCGAAATTTAATTGATGAACCTGATATTTTCGCATTTAGATAAAATAAAAAACAATCATGTAATTGCTGAATATTTTTCCACAATTATAAATTTGGGAAAACAATATTTTGATATTTTTAATATTTAATATTTTTTTTAATTTTGACAATATTCTTTTGAAGATAGTTTTTAAAAATATATAAAAAAGCAATAATATTTCAAAATGGAAGAGCTATTAAACGAAATGGGAATTAAAATGAGCTCCGTGAGTTATGTGGGCCAGTTTTGCTTAAAAAACATATTGTATGTCACTTGTTTAATGATTTTGGTATTTTTAAATGAAATTTTGAAGAACTTTTGAAAAAATAATAAAAATAAATTCTATGTTGAAGAATGAACTTTAAAATAAAATTGAGAATTAAAAAAATGATATACGTACAGGATGGTGATGAGGAGGTCGTTGATCGTTTTTTCCTCATTCCACATGAAAGTTGCCAAGCTGTAGCAAAAGCTGGTCCACCAGGTGGACACATCTTTATCAGCCCTTGATTTGCACTTGTATGATGGAACGTTTCAGCGTTTTTAAGTAGTAATGTAGCGAAATACACTGTAATAAACATTATCGTGTAAGAAAATTTTCGCATACCTGAAACTTATCTTGTAATAACTGCAGGAATAACAAAAGTTCTCCATTTACGAATAAGATAATTCGACAAGCAAACAAGTAATTCGATAATATTACGGTATTTGTCGAAAGTAATCGCTAATCAAAAGGAATAGTAGGAAAAAACTTTGAAAAAGTGTAAGCAAAACAATAATCTCAACAGCGATATCAATTCATATTAATATTAATCACTGACAAACAAACTAATATTAATCAGTAACCAGTATGCTAGAATAAGTTTATGAGTTTCAATCAGTCCTCTGAAGTTTAACCACACTGGAAGGTCAGCAAGCGTGGACTATAAGTTCGAATTTTAAAAGCAATTTGTTCGAAAGGTATAGAGAAGCATTGCCTGTCCGAATTTAAAAACTAAGATAATTTTCTCAAAAGGGCGTGCCAAAGCGTAATTTTTTTCCCAAGCGCAATGCACCTCGAAAAAAAACGAAAAAATTTATCCATATGAATGGTAAATGGGACCTAAATGAATTATAAATGTTATAATATTTCGGATAGATGTGTCTGGAAAAAATTCCTGAAGTGACGTAGGTTGTAAGTTAATTAGTTTTGGCATATTTATAAGGAATGTACGAAATCGAAGAGAAATGCAAAACGGAAGAAAAATGGAAGAAAAATTAAAATTTCAGAAAAGTAATGAAAAATTTAGTTATATTAGATTTTCATTGCTAAATCGAAGTCGAATTAGTGATTTTTCGTTGGCACTTTTACCAAGATTTGGCGTTACATTTGCTAAAAACAGTATCATTACCATAGACTTGCTTCAAAAGTTTGCGGTTCAAAATCAGTGAAAAATGGCGCAAAATACATTAGTAACTTATACACTGTGCACTGCACTGCAAATTAATGCATCGATTTGTGATTTCGCACATCACAAATCGTTCCGAAATTAAAAATTATAAATCTTCATAAATAAAACAAATTGATGAGATGCACCGTTGGCATTTATCATGCTGTGGACGAAAAATAGGACAGATTTAATTGTTTCTTTATCAAGTAAGCAAATCTTACAGAAAGTTAAAGAAATATAATTGGTTTCACTAAAATTGCATGGTCAAAATATATAAAATAAAAGCAAATAAAAATACTCTTTTGTATTCAAGGCGAGGATTACAAGGAATACAGTTTATTGGCCCGTCTGATATGATAGAACAATAACGACGGTATCACTTACCACTTTATTTTTGCAGCCAGTGCACCCAACCAAATAGCAGTACATCTTTACAGCTAAGCATCAGAAGACGAGAAAAATGATAAAATGATGACTAAAACACAAATTCTTTTAAAAAATAATGAAATAATAATGCGGAAGAAAGAAAATTAAAATGGTAAACTACTGAGAGTCTGCAAAAGGCCAACAAATGGCTTAAATTTGTTAATTTAACGCTGTCTGAGCAAAACAATAGGCAATTAAATGATATCTCATCTCAATACGTTTTGTTCGAATTGTATTCTCAATTTATTAAAGTAAACTGAAATTCCAGAGATCTTACGTGACCTTACAAGGCTTTATTATTCAAATTCTTACATCAGAAAAAATTATTACAATGTTTCAAGTTGAGGTTGATTTCTCGAGAACTTCAGCACCGGCTCCGGAAAAAAATGCGATTAATCAAGAAAACTACGTGGAATATACAAATATATTATTTTTAAACGCATATAAAAGAATATAAAATTAATTAAAAATTAATTAATGAATAAATTAATGAAATTAATGAATAAAAATGCATCAAAATTAATTAATGGACCTATATTACGAAATATCCTTGATGCTTTTTTTCCAAAGTCCTCTGTTGAATTTTCATTGAATCTTCAGCCCCAAAAACGATGCAGTCCTTTCCCTTAAAAAGCACAATAATATGAATTATGAAAAATTTTTTAAACTTTAGATTATTTGTTAGTTGCAGTCTAATTAGTCTTATTTGGCCTTTATTCTCATCTAACAACATTCTAAAAAAAGGTCGTTCTTCACAATCTTCATCTTCCAAGAACACTTAGCATTTCTGGCAAATGCCACACCCTTGTAGTGAGCTGAGTCAGCCTGTGGTGCTAGAAGCGGGTTGCTAGAAGAAAAAAATTTGGATGGATCTACTGGCTATTAAAATGAATTTTTTTTGTTAAAGAGTCCCTTGAAGATAGAAGACAAATGCATACTTTTAATGATGATTACTGCTATCATGCGACAAGAATCACTAATTTAGTGATACTCTCTTTTCATCCTTTTTTTTAAAAAGTCTGCCTTCAGGAACTAATGAAACTTGATCAACTTAAGCAGACAAGTTAAGAATGAAATGATGAAAATTTATAATACATGCTTTAGTGAAAGGTGCTTCATTATAAATGGAATATTCGAAGGGATATCTTCTTGTGCGGCAAGGAATGAATCAAGAACTATACTCATCGAAAACCTATCAGACTTCCTTCCTCTCTTAACAAATGAATGTTTGCTCTAATTAAACTGAAATCTTTCTTAAATACAGATATCCGTATAAGAAATTTTTCCTTCAGACTACTCTCTCGCCGGGTGTTTTAAATTTCAGTGGCAGTTTCAGTAGAGAAAGACTTGGAAAATTCCAGGTTTACATTTTATATTTCATATATAAAATATGTTTCACTCACTCGAACATGAAGGAAAAGCTGCGTCAGCACAGAACAACAATACATAAAGAAAGCAAATTAACGCATCGAGAATCGCCAATACTGAAATTTATGACCTTTTATTGTTCAATTTTACTAGATTATTGCTTTAAGATGTTAAAAATGAAAACGTTGAGTTTATTTATAATCGCCATGAAATTATGCAGAGATAAAGAGATGGAAATATGAATGAAACCAGGATTATAGCGAATGATTAAATTTTTTTATATGCAAATATTTTTAATAGCGGAATCGCCATTCCATGCGTCAAGAGACTAGATTAATGCTGCGGATCCACATGTATTTCCATTTCCAATTCACTTCCTGGCGACGCGTCTCGTCATAATAGGTAATAAAACAAATTTAGCGCTGTGACAAATAGCTAACCACGAATAGTTCGTATGTCATTACATACTTCTCATCAACACATAGAAATTTTGGCTTAAGTATTAATGGATTTAGCTAATATTTCCAAGAAATAATCTTTAAAACAACAATTATCCTCGTTTAATAAGCGTCTGTGGCTCAGTATCAAGGTAACTGCCAATGAGAATCGAGGCTTGAGTTCAAATCCGTAGACGCACCACTCTTCGTCTGGCGGCAATGTCGCTTAACGGAGAAAAACAAAATAAAGTAGAATGGCTCAGCCGGCTGTTGCTCAATTCGAAGCGCCGATACTGAAATTCTACTCCCGGTAGGAGTAAACTTCTCCAAAAATCTAAGTTATGCTGCCGACCTGTACCTTAATCTCCAAGGCACTCCCTAGATATTTGTCTAGCCATACAAGTCAGCGAAGAGAGTCTAACCAGTAACGGTGAGTGATCTTTAAAAAAAACCTCGTTCAATGAGCATGAGGATGAGCGATGTCAAAATTTTAAGAGGCCATTTTGCACTGATGTCTATTCCTAATCTTAAATTTAACACCAGAATTAATTATAGAAAAAGGTTTATTTCAACTGGTTAATTAAACTTTAAATTTTTTAAATTCTTCATGCTAAACTTTTCTTGCCATCATAATTGTTTGCTTTTCTTCTTCTAACAGCTGTCATCATTACTGGCTGGCTCCGCTGGCTACAAGGATAAGACGTCTCCAAGCTACTCTGTCCGACGCCATCGCTAGTAGTAATAGATGCCATACCTTTTTCCATCGTTTAAATCCATATATCACTCCACCCCCTATACCTTCAAAATCTTTCCGGACTGTATTAGTCCAGGTCTTGACTGGCCCTCCTCGCTTTTGATACCAACCATCACATGGTTTAGCAAATAACAAAATATGTGACTCTTGTGGTGGGTGACAAAGAACGTGCTTAATTAGTGAAGGCGACGCTCTACGATAACATTATTAATACAGGTGGTATTTGAGCAAGGACGGATACAATCATGTGCGATTTTATCCGCTCGACGGATCTATAAAATGTACCTTACACATGAGTGGTCACAATCTAATAGTTCTTAATATTTTCCACTCTCACTGGCCATATTTCGCAATCATATAGCAAGATCAAGCGAATTGCAGCTATAGGGACGTGGATTTTCGTCTTTATGGTGATTTCGTCTTTATGGTGACGGTCAATTGAACAATGCTTTTACCTATAATAAAATAAAATATTTAAGTTAAAAATAAAATATCAAAACATCGATACTGCATAGAAAATTTTCATATTAAACCAATAATAAAAAGAAAAAAAATAAAGCGCATCGCATAAGTGTTTTAAAAATAGTTTATAAGCTCATTTAAATGAAGCAACACAAGTCTAATTCAATTAATAATTGGGAAATTAAATCTGACGGATTAGATACGAGAACGTTTCTCTCATTGCCATTATAACTGAATCGAGAAAAGAGCCTAACAGAACAAAACTCTATAAATTTTAGTTTATCACATTTAAAAGCTAATTAACCGCCCATATTGATATATCGAAATGATAAATAATCTAAGAAAGATAGGATGCATAACAAAATGAAAAAATTTTGTTTTATGGGCACTATAAACTCTTAAGCAAAATATGGGATGAATAAATCTAAACTTTCTTGACGCCCGTTATCTGAACTGATGAAGATAAGGTTCTTAATTTTAGCTGAGGAAGATGTTTCATTCCATTTCCTTTCGAAAAACAAGTGATCTGTAAGATGGTTTTGAGGAATTTAAAGAGACGTAAAATGAGGCACACTTTTCAGCCTCATCCACTTTGGTGATGGCTACTGCGTTTCCTTCGACTGCTGATTTCTGATGAATTTTGTACAAATTCATTCTTAAATCAAATATGAATTACTTTGCTCGAAGATTCCGCAAAAAAAGAAACAAGGATACTTATCGCTTTCAAAAACTTCTTAATTGATTGCGAAAAATTTCCCCAAGAAAGTACCCTTATTAGTTCAAATTCTAGTGCCAACATTACTTACCTTAGAGCTTCTTGCTTCTCGCACAAGCATGTCATTGAATCTTTAAATATGAGATTAATAATAATGATCTGATTTTAGGGCTAACTTAATTCGGATATTACAAGGTAACCAGACGGGTAGCGATTTGGATTGTCATGTTGAGAAGCAAGGATTTTGCTCTTACTCTTGGCAGAAATAAAGTTGTGATTTAAAAAATCAGGAGATAATGGCCCAATCAACAGTGATTCTCGGATAAAATTTCTAACCAAAAAACAGGGCAGCTAGCCGAACCAGAATCGATGATCGCTTACCTTTTATTTAGTTAGTTCAATCATAAGATTATTTTTAGCAGATTATTTTTATTCAACTAGCATTGTTAAAGGATCTCATCAGTATCGGATGTGAAGTGAAAATTGATCTTCACTCATGCTTTTTCCATACTAAGGTTGGAAGATAAATTGATAATCACCAAAGATTTACAAAAATTAAAACCTGAATAAATGCTAATTACTAAGGTTTTTAAATGAAAAGAATTACACTTACACTTAAAAAATGAAGAAAAATTGGTCTAAAAATATCTTTTCAGTCGGATAAGTATAAAAATTTTAAAATAAATTGCTAAATAGACAAACCTTTTGATAAAAAATCATTAAAATAATTTTTAAAATGATTTTGTTTAAGATTAACAATAAGGCTCAATTTGAAACGCCGATGCTGAGGTTTTATTTCCCGCAAGAGTAAAGCTGTCCAAAAATCCGGGTGATGCTGGCGACTCACCTGTATTTCTATCGCCAAGGGACTTTTTGCCCAATGCGACAAGGAAGCGAAGCGAGTTTAATCAGTAATGGTGAGGACTCTTTAAAAAAAAGGATTAGAATTCGAAAAAAGAATTAAAATTCATATTCCTGTCAGCTTATCTCTGGCCAAAATTAATATTCTTGCCATTTTATTGATAAAAATCTGGAGATGCTCGAAATCTCAAGGCTTCAAGAAGGCTTTATAAAATTTTCATTAAAATTTTCATTTTAAAGGTAAATTTGCTTAGAAAAGGTAAATTTTTGGCCAAATTAAGGTCAAAATTGGTTGCGTGTTTTAAAAAACCAAATTATATTTGCGTCAAAACTAATTATTAATTCATTTATTTTACCTAAGATCAATAACAAAAATTAAAATGCTCATTTTATCCAATGATTAATAATAGGCGAAAAAATTTAAGACTAGTTAATTAAATTTTTAGATTTTATAGTTAAAATATAGTTTAAAATGAAAAGCCTCTAATTAGGTCCTTCGCAGCTACTTTTTTTAAACTGCAGATAATATATTTCTATTTATCTTAGAGAATTGATGAAACTGAAAGAGGCCATCACTATTACTGTATACAAAATGTAATAAACATACAGCTGTGTTGAAGTGTTAGTTGACTTTTTTGGTTCTTTATTATCTCGGAAAAATTGAAAAATTTTAATGCCTTATATATTACTTTATGCAGCCTTCCATATTATTGTTATTTTTTTCAATAAGACGGCCTAAGAGCGCTGGAGAAGAGCCTATCAAAACTGTGAGAAAATCCTGTAGAATCAATATTTCGTACTTATACAATGATAAAAATTGGTCATTTAATGAATCAAAATTACAATCAGAATAATTTATCATTCTTGTCCACCACTAGCACTGGAAATCATTTGGTTGTCCATCGCCAGATATTCTCTTTAAATTTTAGAAAACTTTCATCGAAACAATTGTGCATGATGTTGAAAGAAAGAAGGTTCAGATTTAGGCTAAAATAGTGCTTGACCGGGACAATTAGACTATTACTATTACTAAACTATTATTAAAATTTATGGCTAATTATACTGAATCACTATGTGATTTGAATAGCATAAATAGCTCAGCGTCCATGTTTTAACTATTTAAACTAAAATTTTTATTTAAAAAAAATCTTGAAGGAAAAATTTATTTTTCTTCTTAGAATTAAAAGTAGCTATGAATGATTAGCATTTTTTAAATTACTCTTACGATTTGAGTATTCTTCATATTTTGGAATGAACAGCAATAGAATCCGATAAATTTTTGGGAAAAGCTGGGAAAATCACTAAAGAAATCATTGTGATGATAAAGAAATATAGCAATCCAACTTTGTTGAGCCACTTACTATTAAGCAAAAATTTATTACAAAAAAGCATTAGATAATTATAACAAAGTATTGAGATCTTTCTTATTAACTATAAATTTCATCAGAAAGCCTTTACACTTCGCCAAATAGTTTAAAAACATTGGCAATTCATTTTTAAGCAAAAGTAAAACATGAATAATTGGTAATTCATCGGAAACAACTCTCAAAGATTTATTTAGGCATTTGTGCAAAAGCAATTTAATGAAATACTGAAAAAACACAATAAAAATTTGCGCAGTATTGCAAAAAATAGTGGATAATTAAACATAGCAAAATAGATTTATGGATATGTATATCATGCATGATCACATTACAATCATAAAATTTTCTTGAAATATTTCAAAAAAAAATAAATAGCTCCAGTTGAGCAAGAAAAAAGAATTCACAGATACCAATAAAAATATAAATTAAACCTAGGTCAAATGAATGATTTTTTCATGTGAAAAAATGAAGATCACATTTTTATTTTCTCAATAAGTTTCTGATCATTTTAAATATATTTTTTTTATTTTTTTAAGGACGATTCCTCAATAAAAAATTGCAGTTAAGTAAATTGAACCTTTAGTGAAGTATTTTTCTCGATCCCACAAAGATAATTAATTGTGATTTTTACTTTCATTTTTGCTCCTTTAACTGAAAAACTAAAAAAAAAACTTTATTGGGGATAATATCATGAAAGCGAATAGAATAGCTCAGTGGATTGCTCTAGAGTTCTATTCGCATCAAGAGTGAATGTTGCTTCTGAAAATCCGAGTTGTGCTTGTGACTCACCAGTGTTTCTAATGCAGAAACCTTGGCAAAATTTGTCTTATGCTCTGAGCCAGCCGAGCAAGCCCAATCAGACTTGTTGAGTGTGTTTTTAGAAAAAAGATATCAGTAGAAAAAGGAAAAAAATCAAAAAAAAGCTTTTTGATAGCTAATTTTTTGCTGATGTATAGTAGACGTGTGATCACACTAGCCTAGATTTACCTACAACCATTAATTAGCGAGCCTGTTTTCTTTTATTTTCAATCTAAGAAGTACTACCTATACCAATTATATCACATTTTTTTAAGCTTTCGATTCTTCCTTTGTCATTGTAATTTGATATTAGCCTTTCATACAAAGATTTCGAATTGGCATGAGAATGATAATTTTCGACATTTTCCATTTCACCAGATCCCACTTCATCGATTGCGTCAGTTTTTCCAAAATGCATTTCGATTATGTCGATAGGAGAAATAAACCTTTTTGGACCGAGTGATGCTTTTATTCCCATTCTGGCATTTGTTAACAAATCACATTCGCAACGTGGTGGATTGCAACATGGCAAAACACTTAGCTTATAATTTCCTAAAGAATAAATTTAGTGGAAGTCTAGGTTTTCAATGTATTCAAACATAAATAATTTTATTGCTTAAATAATTTTATTTCTAAATGAAAAATTCGCCATGTTCAATTGAATCCAATAACTGCCAAAACTTAAAAAAAAATTTAACCAGAAATAAAATCAAAAAACTTTGGATTATAACTATGCGTTAATACTAAACATAAAATATTATAAAAAGATATTAAAAGTTTACCTAGTTGTTCTCTGACTTTTATGATAGTTTTTTCATGCTCTTTCTTTAGACGAATTGCATTCATTCGAATTTCCTGTACTTGCTGATGTGCATTATGCAATGGGTACATTTCATAAACGTCTTCATTCAAATCATAAACCAAAGGTGGATTATGTGTGGTCAAATGTTCTTCAGGACAAGTTAGTGAAACGTACCTAGAATTTATCAACCTTTGCATATGTTTCAATAAATTTTGGAATTTACACCAGGAATTAGAGGGAAAAAATTTTGGAGGCAAAAAATATGACCTTTCTCCAAATAAATCAAAAGATTTTTAGTAGCAAAACTTCTACCAGTCATCAATAGGTTTTCCACCAGGACAAAGCTCTTCGATCCGATCACTATTAGAACCATTTCTAAATATTGGTGATGTTTTGAAATGGACCTACAAATCATGGTTTTGAAACGAATTATATGCGAAAAATTCAAGAAAAAGTGATATAAGAAAGGAAATTGAAAAATTTTACACTGCAAAAATTACTTTGTAGTCACCAAATCTTATAGCCATTAGATGTGTATTGCAGTAATAAAAAATAGGGCGCCTATGAGCGAGAGAAAAATTTGAATTCCGAAATCCTACTAAAAAATTTGATCTACCAAACAATTCCTCATGTACATCGATACCATCGTAAAGGCCAGGAGTTCGTCTTTTTACTTTCTGCAAAATGCCGAAAATATATTTAAAGTCAATCGAGCCGTGTTTCAATCATGGCTTTTATTTCCTAAATTTTTTTGTCTCCTACTTCCATTGTTTATAAATAAATCGCCCAACTGAACCACCTCACCTTTTCGGCTTAGTTTTTTCAATAAAAACATTAAATTTCATTCTGAAATGCAATATTTGAAAAAAATCTTTAATAACTTCAATTTTTTAGTTAATATTTTTATTATATGAAAAAGGTTTTTGAAAAATTTAATATAAATCTAAATTATATATAAAGCAAAAATTATGCCATTATCAGTTGCCAGTTATCGGAAAATTATCGAAACTTTGGATAAATTGGAAACGTTATTTTAATAGCTCCATTCAAAAGAAGAAAAATAAGAAAAATTGTAGAAACTTAATAATAAAAAATGCACCAGCTTACCCCAAGGGAGGCAAGTGATTCAAATGTAGGGAAAAGATCGAGCGATGAAATAACTTCTCTAGACACTAATCCAGCCTTCACAGTGCCTGGCATCCAAGCTGCAAATGGAATTCGAAACCCGCCCTCATAGCTATTTGATTTTCCACCTAAAATTAACATTTTAAAATTTCTTTTTTTTTTATATTTTGACTTCATATAATTTTGGAAAAATTAGTCAATCCGTACTTTCTAGCAAAAATTTAGTAAGAAATAGGATCTGCTTCGCTCCTCTACCTGACTGAATGAAGAGCAAAATAGAGTTGCAGATATAGTTTTCGAAAATATCTGATTGTATCATAAAAATTTAGAATTCGATTCTTCTTGATTTAAAGCAATTTTTTAGCAAAAATCACTAATTAAAAGCAAAAACAAAAATCAGAAAAAAAAACAGTTACATATGGCTTTAAACAAGAAATATCAACAAAAAAGATATTTTCCTACTATCCTTCCAATTGATTTTTTAGGTCATTTTAATCACAAAACATAAAAAATTTTTAATTATTCATTGTTTTGATAGAAAAGATAGAATGGCAGAAAGACAAGTAGATAAAAAGGGGAAAACTACAAAAAAATTAAAATTTACAAAGATATAAAATTTTTGTTTTTTGATCATAATGCTAAAATTTTGGAAATAAATTTGTGGTACTTTCACTTTTAGGAAAAAGTGGCTAATTTATCTCCCTAATTATCTATCAAGAGACTCATATCCGATAGAATGTGACTATCGCGAGACCAAGATTTCTGCAGAAAAGTTTAAAATTTTACCACTTAAAATTTTCATTCGCTCTATCTAGAATATTGTTAGTTCCTCTCCTAAAATTAATAATCAGCAAAATTAATTGGAAACTTCCAAAAATATTTTTTGTGCCGTTTAGGTTCTGGTCCTGTTATTAATTATACATCTAAACTAAAATTATGTAATTTAGACCGCTTAGGGTTAGGAGAATTAAACAAGATCGCATATATGTTTGATACTTTTTGGTCTTGCCATCTGTATGAAGTATTGTGACCTCTTCTTATATTTAAATAACTAGATGTAATGGATTGAAGATACGCAAACCTATTTATAAAACTAAAGTCATAGTTCATAACTGTGTTTCACATAGCATCAACTACTGGAGCGTTAAGTTGCTTTCTGATTGGAGCCTTCTGATGTAGTTTCTGCACCATCCGTACCTAGCTTTACAAGTAAGCAAAATATTCATGACAATATTTAATACGAACAAATCCTCAATCCATTCTTCCAGCACAACACTTCTTGTTTGCTTTTGTTCCAGTAAGTAATACTGCCAATACTTTTACTTAAATTTTCTTTCTTAGCATTTGCTTCTTTAAATATTCTTTTTTTTAAATTCCATTTCCATTTTATTAAAGCATATGGCCTTACCCATTCTGTTTGCTATATATAAACAAAAAAACTAATCTCAAAAAAAAAATGAAAATACAAAACTTTTTAGTTTTTTAATAGATATTCTTTTTTTTCATTGAAGTTTGTCGCTTCCACAAGGCAAAATAAAGATGATAAACCTTTTAAACCAGCAGTACTTCCACCGTTGAGACATAATTCCTGATGTGGACCATGGTCAGACATGAAAATCACTAATGTGTCGCGTTCAATTCCATAATTTCTTAGGCTTTGTAAAACTTGTCCTACTGCCCAAGCCATCTCATTAATGTTATCGCCGAATAATCCTAAAATTTCGATTTGATAGAGAATGCTCGGTGGAATCACTATTAGCTGAAAATTTCGTCTTTTTTTAGTAGCTCATTTGGCCGGCTCCATGGTATTATGATCTTATTTCTCCGGAGAGTTGATTGATAATAGAAGTACTGTTGCTTCTCCGGTACTACCGTAATTTCACTTTCTAAAATTGGTTTAATCCAATCAAGGGACAGGAATCAAACCAGTGATGGTTTAATCTACTGCTCAAACTATCCAATTTTATAAACTCACCTCGAATAGATGAATTAATGAAATGTTCATTAGCAAATTGGGAGCTGTGGACATGTGGGAAGGAAAAGTAGAAGAAAAATGGTTTTTCAATATCTGTTTTCATCTGCTTATCTGAAATATTACTTGAAATAATGATAATATCTAGAGAAGCCTGAAAAATTTTGAAAGATCATTGAGAAAAAAATATTACTTACTTTTCCTTTTGCTTCTATTACTTTTCTGCTTCCATTTAATGGCCTTTCACATTTTTTTTTTTAAAGGGTACTCATCACTGCTGGTTAGACTCGCTGCGTTTGCTTGCCAGACAAAGCAAGAAATGCCACGGAGTCCTCTGACGATAGAAATACAGATGACTCGCCAGCATCACTCGGACTTTTGAAGGACAGGCTTACTCTTGCCAGGAATAGAACCTCAATAACGGCGCTCTGAAGTGAGCCCACTGATCTATTCTCTCATTTTGTTTTAACAAAAAAGTTACAAACAATTTGCCAAACGAATTAATTAGCTAAATCTTTTATTAATTAGAATTTATTAATTATGAATTAATTAGAATTTTTGATAAAAATGAGTATTTTTTGTAATCATTATATCGTAAAAATCACCTAAAAATCTTTTCCAATCATTGACAAGTGCTTCAGTTAGATGCTCGAATTTAATCGGTTGTTGAATGATTTTGTCACCATCATAAAGGAAACATAGCGTCGCATTTGGACTCTCAACAAATTTCTAAAAAATTTTATTTCCAGTAAACAGATAAATAACGAATAGATTATTCATTATTTTCATGCCTTTTTTAAACTTGGCTTTTCAAAAAGGCTAAAAACTACTCTACATTATTTAAATTACTGAGAATGCAATGACTTGACACCCAATATCAGAAATGGAACTTTAAAAAACCTTTAATCAAGCAAAACATAAAGAAACCTTGCTAACGTCACATTCCCATACATTCGTCCATGGTAAATTGATCCCTACATATTGAAAACCACGCTTGGAAGGCAAATATGATCCATCAGTTTGATTCACCTCATTTATACCAAGGTGCCACTTTCCAACCATTCCCGTTGAATAGCCTAAGAAAATTTGTTCTCAAATTACAAAAAGCAGAAACTAATTTGAGCTGAAATGCCTTCACTGAGCAATTGCCCAATATGCCCAAATTGCTAATTAGCACTCGGTTAAAATTAATATTTGACAATATTTCATTAAGAAATTAAAATAAACCATATTTCAAAAGCATCTCTGCGATAGTTTCTTCATGTTTTGGTAGACCACCAGCGTCCTTTGCTAAAAATACACGCGCACCTCCAGTTATGCCCAATCTGATAGGAAGGCGACCTAAGATTCAATTTTTTATTGTCGGTTCTTCTCGCATAGCACTTCTAACAACATTCGACATTTCTGGCTTAGCTAGCTTCAATGAATATTGCAAATATTGGTTTGCAAGAGAATTATGGATAGAAATGCAGATGGATCTTTTTCATCCCTGGACTTCATTTTTAATGGCGAGGGTTACTTTTCAAATCAACATATCATCTTGCCAAATTTATTGATATTGGCAGAAAAGTGTTGATCTTAACCAAATTGGAGCCATTTGGCCAAAATTCACATCAAAAAATAAGGTTTTTCCTTTTTTGAACACTTAATATGAATTTGCTGCGCGGGAATTACCATCATATTTTTGCAGGATACCCAGCCGTCATAATTTTTATTATCTTCTTATACGGATTCTTTCCTTTCTTCATTGTATTTTTCGTAATTTTTGCAAAATTGAACACTTAGAGGCATATAGAAACTTACCAGTCATAAAGCCTGCCCTACTTGGTGAGCACATACTGTCAGCAGAATAAGCTTGGGTAAACCTGGTACCTTCTCGAATCATCTCATCTATTTCGTTCCACTCTTGATTTGGATTACCGTAACTTTGCAGATCTCCATAGCCTGTCAAATTAACAATGAAAATAGGTTCAAAATATTTGGTCCTGAAATATCCATCTATTTGGCCAACATTACAAATTTATTTTTCGCATATAAATTTTTCTTTGAAAATTATTGGATATTTCTGCAAATAGTTGCTAACTAATTTGCACCAGAATGCAAAATTATAATTGAAATTTATTTAAAACTTTTTTGAAAGCGATTTTCTCCTATGGTTAACAATATTCATGCTTCACATAATTTAAAAGATTTCATTAAGATGAAATAATATCTTTGTAATAAGCAACTTATATGTTGCCTCTGGACTTTTATCGATGATTTTTTATAAATACTTAAGTTTAAAACAATCTTTCAATAGCCCAAAGAAATTATCTGAGCATTTGCCAATTAATATTATTAAATAATAAATAAATAAATATAATAAATAAATTAATCGAACAGCGAATGCGACTTGAAATCACGGAGCTACTGAGGTAAATGATTTAAGAGTTTAAAGCACTCTATGATTTGGAAAAATCGACGACGCGTGGATAATAGCAGAACACTCTTTGTTTTGGCTGTAATAATATAAACTTTGCTTAGCCAACAAAATTTGTCATTATCGCTCATCGTAGAATGAATGTAGAAACTACTTTTGCTGTCATGCAGTTATTTTCTGTCTTAGTCTTATAAGTGAAGAAAATTACATTGCAGTAGTTTTTCCATACGAATTTTTCCACCACAAATTTCTTAAAATCAATGATAAACTTATTTTAAAACGACATTTTATGAAATGTCGGACATTGCCACATTTTTTTATATTTTCTACTTACATACGACAAGTTTTCTTACAAATTAAAACGTTTTTTAAATATTATGATCGCAAAAAAAGACATTTGAGACAATGTTAATTTCCCTTTGCATTCAAGAAAAATTTCCTGTTATACTCGTATAATTCATTCGATAAGTCGTCAATTTGGAAAATTCCTTGTTATTTTATAAAATTTGCTGTTTTTTTGTTGATTTCGTTCGTCATTGATAAGAATGATAATATGAAGAACGGCGTATAAATGTATTTTCTTATTCTTATAAAATTTGTTTTTTCCTGGATTTGTTCAAAAAATATCATTTCAGTCGTTATTTCCATAAATAATGTGCCTTCACTTAATTCATTCTTCAAGAAATTTTTTTGTTTCGAAATCGAGTACACAGATGAGAATTTATTAATAGTTTTGATGGGCCATCATTTTTTGTAAAATTTCATAGATTTTGCAGATTAGCAAATTTAACATAATACGAACAAATACCAGTAATAAAAATATATTACCTAAGTCGTCGGCCATTAATACGATAATATTAGGTGGTTTAGGCCTGATAGACGATGGAAGATTACTCCATACTTCAGTATCATAGCAATTAACAATGGCCACAAAAAGAACTGACGAGATCAGTACGAATAGTGAAACTAGTGATTTATTTACTAACTTCATTCAGTCGTTAATAAAACCAAGCTAGAGAAATTTAAGCCTGAAAATTTACTATTGTTTCACATGAAATAATTCAGGTAACATTTAGGCAATTAAATTAAAAAATAAACAGTTGTAGCGAGAAATTTTTCATTATTTATTTTCATTAAGAAAAACAATTTTAACACAAAAAATTGAAAACTGTTCGTGATGAATCATGTAACTACAAATTAAACAGTTTTTTAAATGAGTAAAAGTTGGCAAAAGCAATAAATAAGTTTAAAATCCTTGAAAATCCTTTAAAAAAAACTATTTTTGATTTTCTTAACAATTATTTGTTTTCAGAAGCAACAACAATACGAGGATTTCTTAATTTTTTTATGAATTAAAAATTTGAACTCACTAAAATCAACCTGCTTTTCTTATAATGAAAGAATCTTACTGAAAATTTGACGGCATTTTCATGGAAGGGTAAAGGAAACATTGTTACCTACTAGTAGGTTTCAAAGCAACTAGAATATGGGTTATATCCACTGTTAAATTTTTCAAAAGTAACGTTCAATATCGAATCATTAGAGGGAGAGGGTGGAAATGCACACTATTATTACAGCTAATATTGCATGTACTAATTTAGGAATTAAATATAATGAAAGGCGATTGAGTGAAATTTGTGGTACCATTTTGAGCAGTACTAGTGCTAGTACAGCAGCACGCTGGCCATTCTTATAATATATTAATGTTTAATTTATGATTTTTAGCGGATTTCAACATTATAAAAAAAATTACTTGTTTCCATTTTTAATTCACGAGGAACTAATGTTTTTGCAGTCATCTTTTGAATATTGTTAACAAAAAATTTAATTACAGTAATGAAGAGGGTATTTCAAAAGAATTTCGAAATATTGAATTATAGTGTATTTGTAGAAGTAAAAGTTATAAAGTATTATAAGAAATATTAAAAAGCGAAAATTGTATATTTAGAAATTTTAGATAAAAATGAAATTATAAAGAAATTTTAAATTATATTTGGTTATAAATTTATGAAAGATATGAAGTATCAAAAAAACCAAAAATTGCAGAATTTTTAGATAAAGTTTTCAAAAAATTTCAATACCTGCCACCTATATATATGTATAAGCTATTACAGAAAAAAAAAACAAAAATTTTAGATATCAAATTTTAGAAATTTTAGAATTTTAGATTTTAGTTGGCCAAAAAAAACGATTTATATTATCACATAAGAAAATTAATTAAAAAAGTAAAAAACTAAAATTTTGAGATAAAAGATCCGCAATCGAAATTGTCATGTCAATTTTGAATGGAAATTTAAATTTTGCCACTAGCGGATATATTCTATCTAATGTTAACCGTTTAATTTCTTTCCATCACTAATTGTACAAACTCTTTTTGCGATGAAATAGAACAATGTCAATAATTTCAGCAATTTAGCAATAAAACATAAAAAAAAAAGCTATATTAAGAAGATATCTCAATCAGTAAATAACTGATTAAATTGATAACGCATTATTGTATTACTTAGTAGATAATAATAGATAAATAAATGACTGTAATAATATTAATATATATATATATATGTATATAATATAATATAATATAATATAATATAATATAATATAATATAATATAATATAATATAATATAATATAATATAATATAATATAATATAAATGACTGAATAATTAAATTAAATGATTTAAATTACAATAAAAAAAATGGTTTTAAAACATGTTTTATCACTGTTTTAAATAAATAAAAGTAGGTAAGTAAATAAGTGATTAGCGATCATCACTTTTAATTATACCGGCTCTAATAACTTAACAGTAAGTTTACTTCTGATTAGGCTAGTTCCACTAACTATTAGTGCAATGCAAGGTTTTCACTTGCCTGTAGAAGTACAAATGCATCACTAGTTTTTTTAAAAATTTAAAGTTTGCTCTTACAGTCACTAACACTGGATATGATACAACCATTCGGTTATAATAGTTTAATGCAAAAAAAAGTGATTAATGCGCTCCAATTCTGGTTATCTCATCTGGTTAATGTGATTAGAAATTCGTGCCACGGAATAACTGGTGATAAAATCAGGATGGGTCGTCTGCACCACTCGCATTTACTTAATGATAGGTTTATTTCTATCGGAGGTCGAAAATCGAGAACCTATGATGCTCGATGCAAATCGAAGCATACCACTCATCTGTTTTAGCATATAGATAGGCATGTCACTGGATGTTCAGTATCAATAACGTTTAATTAAAACGACAGCAAATTTTTAGCCACTCTTTTTATATGAACCAAATATCAAAAAGAAGCAGTATAATTGAGTGGTACGTTGTTTCGACTAAGGTCAAGCACCACAGATTTGATTTTGTCTAGTAAAAACCCAAAAAATCCAACCATCCAATCCAACAAAATCTAGTTTTGGTTTTGAGGACTGGTTTTATTAGAAAAAGATTCTAATTTAAATTGGAAAGAACCTTCAAATAGCGTATTTGGTGCAAACATATTGCACGTGTACAAGGATGCTCTCGGCAAAAAAGAAAAGACCGAACACATAAAAAGTTTTCTACTTTTTTGGAGAATTTGGACGTAGAAAAATGGAGAAAAATTATTTTTATCAGTTACAGTAAAATTATCTTCATTGTAGAACTTTAATAATTCGATAGTAGCGATTTCTTTCAAAAAGCGCAGCTAAAATTACTACAGCAAATCATTATTTACTGCTTTTGCTCAAAATTCACAAATTTCTATTTGTGAATTTTGTGACTTAAAACTATTTGGAAACCAAAAGATTCTTCTTTTTTAAATACATTACAATCAAAGAAATTCTAATGAACTGAAATTTTATTTGCTGGATGCTAAAGCTTTTTTCTTCGATTACAGACTTTAGAAGATACATAACATATCGTTTCAAAAAATCAAGAAGGAACCTAAATGCTCAAATGAGTATTAATAATAAATAATAATAACCACAATAATGTATATATAATACTAAAACATTTAAGCAAAGCGTCTTAAATTTAAAATACACGTTCTATTCCACATGAATTGTTTTGCACATAACCACTATTTGGCCGATCGGTGATCCCTTGTCGCTACCAACTTTTTCCCTATGAAATCATAAAACATCAATGATCAAGATAACAGAACTAAACGAATCATTAACTATTTCCTTTCAAAATTTATTGGTTGATAGTCGAAGAAAATATTAATATTGCATATATCCAATTTACAAAAAAATTTTACCTTATTGTTCGTAGCAAGTGATACAAAAAAATTGGCAAATGGTATTGTGTTTAGGCATGATGGGTTCGGGTTCGTAGAATAAATCTATCATTATAAGCGAAGTCCAAGTGGTGCCAGTAACTCACCTATAATTCTATCCCAAGAACTCTCGTACTAAAGGCTTTTATTCTAATGCTTAATGCCACCAAATTAGAATAGTTTCAGCTCTGAGGAGAAGAAGAAGAAAAGCAATAAAATGGAAAAAAAACTGCACTAACAATAATAAAAATAATAAGATAATTCCCAACTCTCTACACAACACAGCTTAATCTATCATGACTAAAACTAAAACTTCAGATGGGTGTGTCATTAGCTAAAAAATAATTGCCCATGGTGGGTGGTGATTGTGCGCAAACTGCCACAAACTGCGGTTGGAACAAATAATAAAGAAAATTTCATGAACTTTCATGTGGAATCAATTCATAGAATCAGTTTAAAGCATTGTGCTAATCGTTAAATATTTAATTTTTATAATAAATTTTGCAAATTTACTTAAAATTATTTTCGAAACCGAAAGAAAAAAAATAATTTCTAATTTCCGGTTACCGAACATTTTGCATCTCAAAATTCCGATTATAAATTATCGATTTAAAAAATGGTTAAAAGTATTCATTGAAATATATAAATGCAATAAATTAAATAAGTTTACTGAAATGAGAAAAAAAATGAAACGGAAAAATGAAAAATTACATATTCACCTTATGATTACGATTTATTATCTGCTTATATTTTCTAATAATGATTTGGAATGGCACTCACTCTTTTTGAATAAACTCGTTCCGCTGACTTTCTGAAGAAGACAAATTTGCTAGAGCCATTTGGTGGTAGAATTACAAGTGGATTGCCAGCACTACCTGGATT